ATACTTTGTTCTGTCAATTACATGGATTAATGTTTTGGATTTTAATTTCTGAACTATTATATTATGTTCTGTAAATTACATGGATGTGATGGATTGTATGCACCGATATGGGACGGTGGCATACTAGGGATGATTTAGCTCAAAACGCTAAGGCTTACCTTCTTGGAATAAGGGAATGGATTGTAAAAATTGAATCCTACTTATATTTAAATTAGATCAACTGAGTAAGTTGAGTGACTACCTGAATTAATTGTTATTTGTGGTTAAGTCAGATCAACTGAATAAGTTGAGTGACTAACTAGATTATAAATCTTATGTCAGATCAATGAACAATTGAATGACATACTCTAGTTTTGGACGGACTTTAAATATATGACTATGGTACCACGATATGAGCTTGCGTCTCAGGATCGTTGGTTAGGGAGCGTATATGCATTGGATGCGTAGCTGGCTATGACGGTTGAGGTGTACCCTGTTAGGTCTAGGTACTCATGCCCACCACTAGTGCGTTTTGCATGTTGCCTTCTATTCAGGTTGAGACCCCTTTGTAGTTCAGTGAGAGTCCCTTAGTTTGGATATATATATTTATGTATGGACTAAATAGATATTGTTGAGATATCTAGGATGTATCTGCGTATCGGGTCTCTGTTTGGATTGTAGTTAGAATAGAACTTGTTCGTGAGCCTGACCCACTGTCATTTTTTAAGGTATCAAATGGTTCTAGTCTTAGGGATTGTTCGGGCTGAGTAGAGACGGTCATTCATTCTACCGACGACATAGGATTTCATTCCATGTTTTAGATTTGGATTTTATCTTCAGTTGTTTATTTTCAGTTGGGACTTTGTTTAGGGTTCCATTAGATGGATTCTCGAGTTGTACTCTTGGAGGTTTTGGAGAGTTGGATTATTTTAATCTTTAAGGTTTGAGGATTTTATATTAATTAAATCATTCAACTTTATTTTATTTCTTAAATCTTTTTTTTTTTTGTTGTTTTCCTGCTTGTTTATATATTAATTGTTTGGTATTCCCTCGGGTTTGGGCTTGGGCCTGATCAACCCATGTCTCGGAATCGAGGGGTATCACAGTTTGATAAACCAAACGGCAATGAGTCACCTAGTGTTTGAGGCGTTAATGAAACTTAGAGGGAATGTATGGAGACTGCCCTATGCATGGTTAAGTTACCTAGGCCCCAAATGACGCTAAGGAGTTACCTCAGGTTAGGGATAGTTAGCCAATCTTTCTCTTATGGCGCTGGGGAGTAACCTCGAGCTGGGTTATATTAACAATTTGATGGTAATTGCGTTGGAAGAATTTTGGAAAATGGGGAGTGACATTGGCATTGCATCTCATTGCATTCACGGGACTTGGATTGTATGATGATGATTATATTCCCCAAAATAAGCATAACCCTCTTTTCTATATTCTATGCTTTGTGTGTGATTCACGGAATCATTAAGGAGTGCGTTTTAGGCAGCTCTTAGTGAGCCGTTGTTCTCACCCTTTATTATCATTTTTCAGGTTACGGCAAGAACGTAGTTGATGGAGGACTTTCACAAGCTTAGTTAAGGTCAATGATTACATTGTTTTGTAAATTTTTTTGTATTCAATGCTTAGACCTAGTTAAAGTTTTGTAAAGCATTGTAATTGAGGCATATTGAGCCCTAACTTGCAACCATATTCTTTTGGTATCAACTTTGCTGTAAATTTGAGTTTTGTAATGACTATCCAAGCATGTATTGGCAATGTTGCTATTTTGAAATGGTTTAAATGTTTAATGATCCATATAATGTTTATATTGACGTTTAAGGTTATGGGATAGTTATTCTATGTTTTTTGTGAGTTGGGACAAGTTTCGTATGTCCTAAGTGGTCAATTCATAACTTAGGATGGATGGCAACTAATAAGAGGCCAAATTGACTATTTTCTGGGTTCACTCGATCTATCGAGCTCCCACTCGATCAATCGATGCCTTCCATCCTTAGAATATTTTGAGAAAACTTCAGATTTCATGCTCTTGACTCCACCATTTGAGCTTGGACTCGATCGATCGAGCTTGGACTTGATTGGTTGAGTTCGGCTCGATCAATCAAGCTTGGACTCGAATGGATACAGGTATAGCATTCTCTAGAATTCAAGCACAAGCATGACATTTTATTGAAACCAACCACAAGCATGCTCATCATAGAATTTCATATAGTCTCAATTCATGCTAGTATTTACAATTTAAGAAGCTTTGCTCTAAAGCCATGTCATACACCTCTTTAGTAAAGAAAGAAACACATTTTCACCTTAATTACTAACATGCTTTCTTAATATTAACACATAGTCATTGTAATTCACATTTTCACATCCAAGAATGAATTTTAAAGAAATCAAAGCAAGGATGTTCAATAAAAGGCAAAGTTTGATGCATTAAAAATCCCTACCTCAAAGGAGACAACCAAACAAGCCTTTAAGCTAGCCAAACAAGCCCTTAGGATACCCCAAATTTCGAAATCCTTCTAGCCATTGTACCATTGGTCTCAAAATGAAGCTTTTGACAAGTGGAACAAAACTTTTTACTTGCTCATCATCAAAATCTCACATTAACCCTCTCAAAATGAATCTTGAAGCATGGAAGACATATGTATACATACATATAGAGAGAGAAAAATAAAAGATAGAGAGAGAAGAGAGAATGACAAAATTAAGAGGAAGACAAGGGTCGGCCCTTGTCTTGCAAATGAAAATGTAGCCCTTCAAGTGCCACTTGTCAAGCACTTAAATGTTATTAACTTATGGTCTAGTTACCATAATGCCCTTGCACTTTCAATGCTATACCAACTACATCCCTAAAATATCTCCTTAATTCATAGATATATGTATATGTATATGTGTGTGAAATGACTACAATGCCCCTCAATGTAAATGGCAAAACTAGGAGAAATTTCCGAGCCCGGAAATCGTCTCGACTTTTGAAACATTCTAAAAATGATCTCATAACTTTTAAATGACTTAATTAAAATAAATAAATAATGCATTTCTAAAACTCTCGGCCAAAGAAATAACCTAGATGGCCCTCGGGGCCCATGTGGCACGCAAAATGATGCACAAAAAATAAATAAAATACAAATTCAAAAAAATCTAGAAAAATCCGGGAAATAACAATAGTAATTAAAATGAATTTTCTTTTTTCAAACTTTTAGTACAATAAGATGAAATTAATAGTAAAATGTATTTTTTTCTTTATTTAAATAAAAAAAAAAAAAAAAAAGGAACAATAAGAAAAAATGGGTCATTGGGTCTTATGGGTTAACGTAACCCATTTTGACGCAACCCATATTTGACCCATTACAAACGGGCTAAATATGGGCTACAACCCACTTTCAACCCGCTCATATTTGAGCCTGCCTAAACCCGACCCAACTTGTCCGTTTTCCACCCTTACTTAGGGCTACAACTCGAGTGGATTGGAGACTTAATTCGGGCTTTGCCCATATACAAAATCTTTTGCCTGAGCCAGATCCCAGCCAACCAAGCCCAGCCAGAGGTCACGCCATGAACCCGCCCCAATCCCATGCCTCTGTATTCACAAGGTAAAAAACAGAAGAATTGGTATTGCTCCAAGGATTCAAATAGCATACCTTCAAGAAAAATCTCAAACACAGTACCAACTATGCTGCAATACTCTTGTGATATAATCTAGTTATAAATAAATATAACCTTTCCGGGCTCTGGTTGGGCTTCATAGCATATCAACCCAAGCTCAAACTGAATTTAATTCGGGCCCAAAATTTCTAGCCCAGGCCCAGATCGATAATAGAAAAACATTGTCCAAAACCAAAAAATTTTAAACTGGGCTCAGGTTAATTCGGTTGGACCTGCTTGAGTTATAGCCCTACCCCAACTACAAGCTTTGCTTCAATGGCTTTATCTACTTCTCGTGGAAAGAAAGAAATAATCACATCTTCGTGAGAAGTAGAATTCGGTTGGAGTTCAAAAGTTAATTTTTGATAATGTCAAAGGGCGGCTTCACGATAATAGAAAAACATTGTCCAAAACCAAAAAATTTTAAACTGGACTCGGGTTAATTCGGTTGGACCTGCTTGAGTTATAGCCTTACCCCAACTACAAGCTTTGCTTCAATGGCTTTATCTACTTCTCGTGGAAAGAAAGAAATAATCACATCTTCGTGAGAAGTAGAATTCGGTTGGAGTTCAAAACTTAATTTTTGACAATGTCAAAGGGCGGCTTCACTCCATTAATTTTCCCTATCGCAAAAGCTCCAGGAATATTGTTGCATTATGGAACCTTCCGAGCATTGTCATCACTGCTGATTAATGTTCCTCTTCTCTCTCCCCTGTTGTTGCCTTTTGGCCCCTTGCTTGTGCTTGCCCTTTAGTAATTTATTTTTTTTTATTTTTTTATTTTTTGGGGTAAAAACTCAAACACACCACTCACTTTACTTCTTCCCCTTCTCTCTCCCCTGTTGTTGCCTTTTGGCCCCTTGCTTGTGCTTGCCCTTTAGTAATTTTTTTTTTTTTTTTTTTGGGTAAAAACTCAAACACATCACTCACTTTACTTCTTCAGAGACTTAAATTCTCACCATTCATTTTGAAAGGTAAATGATGTATCACTATGCCACATTGATTGTTTGGGCTTGCTCTTGCTCTGTACAATTTTCTTTTTTGTAATATAGTATTGTTTTACCCAAAAAAAATAATAAAAAAGTAAGTATTGATTATATGCTTAGAAATAATAACAACAACAAAAAAAAAAAAAAAAATCATGAAGCAGTGAAGGGTACTCATGACTGATAGCCATTGAATCATTTATGGCCCGCGACCACATTCAATAATTGGATGATCCGGTACCCGAGAATTTTTTCTTCTTATAGGTACAATAAGACTCTACTTTCTCAATTAGAAATTAAATTATAATTAAAAAATAGAAATGTCTTATTTCTTAGATTTATTATTATTTATATTAAACTTATGTAAATAAATTAATTGTAATGGTTTCTTGTCCTTTGAATGAGACTCACCCTGAACTTATCCACACCCCCAAATAGATAGAAACCTTTTCAGCGAGATGAATAGGTTTTTTTTTTTTATAATTTTTTTGTATGACACAGATAAATAGATTTGATAAAGAGTTAATTTAATAGAAAACATTTTAAAAAATCTTATTTACTAACAAGGTAAATATTAAAAAATAAATCTTTTAAAAAAGATTTTGAATAAAAGTAATTATAAATATGTCAAATTAGTTGATGAGGTTGCAGTCTTCAAATGAACAAAGTAGATGGGTAAGTGATTCACGTATTCCTTTTCAAAGAAAAAAAAAATTTATTGAAATAATATCGTTGATCAATCATAAATGAATGAAAAAAAAAGAGCAAAGATGAGTCACGTGACATTACACGTGCTTTAAGGCTTTAATGAGTTGGGGGTTTTAGGTTCCCTCTCTTCTTCCCTAAAACCCTTTCTTTTCACCGAGCTGCAAGTAGAGTCAGCAACCGTACAGTTCCATTCATGAAATGACACATTTCTTCTTCGATTCTCACTCCCAAAACCTGAATTCTAAATCTAACCCTAACCCTAACCATAATTCTGGTCCAATCCACCATGAATCCTTTCTGTGCAAGAGCCATCTTCATCTTCTCTTCACGCTCTGTCTTCATCAATTCAACCAACAATGTTGAAATTATCCAACACGGCCTAAGAATCTCCCATTTCTCAACTACCTCAAGCCCATTTCACTCTTCATCATCTTCCTTTTACCCGTCGCGACGCCAGGAAGAAGAGAGCCGAAACGTGAGGGTTTCGGTATGGTGGGACTTCGAGAACTGCACAGTACCAGCTGGTGTGAACGTATTCAAAGTCGCGCAAAGCATTACTGCTGCAATTAGGGCAAATGGAATGAAGGGACCGATTCAAATCACGGCCTTTGGCGACGTGGTGCAGCTGTCGAGGTCGAACCAGGAAGCCTTGTCATCCACGGGCATCAATCTCAATCATATTCCTCGTGGTTTGTTTTCGAATTGTAGAACTTAATTTGTTTTTGAAATTTAGATTGCTGATTGGCCATGGGTTGTCATATATATACTGATATACACACACATATAAAATGAAGCCTTTCATTATGTCTAGTTCTACATATATGAGAGTACATGCTTCCTGAGTTAGATATGTCCTCGTGGTTTGTGTTCGATTTCCCAATTACTTGGGGTCAGCTACACGAATCCTATGTTTCCATTTTGGATGAGAGGAATTAATTTACTATCTCTATGGTAAAGGATTTGTGGAGGTAGATGATGCTTAATAGCCTAAACCCAACATCTTGCTTATTGTATTTGTAGCTGATACCAAAGGCGTGCACAGGTACTTGTTTCAAAGCTTTGCTGCTCAAGGATACTGAGTCTTGAAACAATCACTACTTTCATACTCAACACTGGTGTTCTTCCATCTTCTTCAGCCATCTTAGTCCCTTATATACGTCTCTCTCTCTATCCTCTCTTTTGTTCTCATCATTATTCTACGTATCTATTTATAGATTTAATTCTATGTTATCGTTAGAGAAGGACTACAATATATATACACACACACACACACACACACACACACACACACACTTTAACCAAGACAGAGTTCCTAACAAGAACTTCTATAAACATTATAAAAATCTAAAAAGAATGTGATCAAATTAGGAATTTGAGATGTATCTCAGCAAATCTTCTCCATTGCTCAATTTCATCAAGCCAATCATCACTTCTCCCATGGTTATTGATTCAGACAATTTATCTGTCTTGCATACAAGTATAATCACCATTTAAGGAATACAACCTATCTATAAATCCTATGTTCCTATCTATCTATCTATCTATCTATTAATATATATATATATAGATATTAATAGGTCCCTTTCTGAATTTCTTTTTTCTTTCAATATGTTCCTCACAGATTTAGTGTGTTTTGCCTTAGGACTCATATCCTCCCTGCTTTTGAGGTTAATGTCACTTTTCTATTTTGAAGCTCTGACCATTGCACCATACGCCACTGAATAGTCCAACTCTACTGTTGTGTATACCAATGTGATTGTATGCAATCAGCTAATTTCACTCCACCTGCAATTAGAATTTCGTTTCAACTTTTGGGGCCAGATTACAATAATGCTAATGTAACTTATTTTAGTTTTTTTTCTCAATTCTCATTGCCTGATTAATATAATAAGTATAGTGTTTAATCAAATGTATTCTAAAATTCTATTTTTGTTCATGAATTCAATTGGTTAGTGGAGTTCAACTTTCGATAGCAGCTTAGTTCACGATAGAGACAATTTCGAGAAGTATGGGTTTATTTGGAATAATTTCCAAACAATAGTAAAATTATATCCGAGGACTTTAGCAAATATTGATAATTTAATTTTAATTTGCAAGAAATTTTGGAAGCCTTTTTATTTTATTATTACTTATCAAAAAAAAAAAAAATATTGCAAGAAATAAAAACAAAATTAATATTCCTATCTGAATTGACGGAATGGTGAACCTGTAATAGGTCTGCTAGAATTCGAATATTGGCACTGGTTTAGTATGAATTACATTTCTTTTGCTTGTTGATAAAACATGAAATCAATGTACCTTAAGTCCTTAAAAAATTTACGACAACAACAAACAAGCCTTTTTCCCCAACTACTTGGTGTCGGTTACGTGAATTCTATGTTTCCATTCCGCTCTATTTAAGGCCATAGCCTCAGTCAATCCACATGCTATCATTTCCTTTCTCACTAACTCTATCCACTTTAATTTTGGTCCTAATTGGCACACTTAAAGGTCTTCTTTGCATATCTCCAAACCATCTTAAACAAATTTCTCTCATTTTGTCTCCAATTTGTGTTACTCCAACCATCTCCCGAATCTAATCATTTCTAGTCTTACCACGCATCTATTGCGACATTGGCATTTCTACCACACTTGCTTTATGCATATGTTGTTTCGTAATTGCCAAACATTATGTGCCGTATAGTATCTCTGGTCTAATACCTGTTCGATAGAGTTTTCTTTCAATCATAAGTGGACACGCCTATCACACAATATACTAGATGCACTCCTCCATTTAACCTTGCGTTTATTCTATGATTAACATCATTTAAGTCTTTAAAAAACGTTACAATATATTGTCCTCTTCATTATAACTGATACATTCTTTTATCCATTTCCATACTCTGGTCCCCATTAGAAAAATTCTTCCTTCATCCCTGATGCAACCGCAGATTACCAGAAAAGGGAAGTGGTAAGTACTAACAATTCCATACTTGGTGTTTTATAGATATTTGTTGAGAGGATTAGACCAAAACTCATTCTGCACATGTCGGTTTGACAAAGAAGACAAGGTTTTAGCTGGACAATCATCATGGCCTAAGTTAGTTATTGGGAAGCTATTAGCAATGCTGAATGCGTAGAGGCGGTTGCAATGTGAAGCATCTCAAGGTTATGCCAACTACTAAAGATTGTGGTTAGAGAAGGTGATGACAGTCAATAGTTCCACTTATGTTTATTTGCCAAACAATTTAAAGGATTTGCATGTATAAGTAGCTAACTAGATAACAGTGAACACCCAATAAGGAAGAGGGGGACACATATTACCTTATAACTATTGAAGTAACAGTCGTAGCTCAATTTTAACAGATGGAGATATCAATAGAGAAAGGATGCTCTACACCCGCCCGATATTTTACATTCCTTCCTCTGTCAGTTTAGTTTAAACTAACCTACTCTAGCCTATATAGCTTAGTTTATCTTTGTTGTATCTTATCATAGCTTAGTTCGTAGCTTAGTCACAATACATGCAGCACACATCCCCTTTTACTCCATGTACAACTTGTTGGCAGTTTGCACCTAGTGCAACAAGAAAAGCAATGTAATCAATGACTGAATGTTATGTTAAGCAATAGTAACATATGATATTTTCTAATCTCTTTTCCCATGGTAGCACTATCTAATGTGCCATTTATTCAATTTTTGACTCCATCTCTCTGCTTTAAGCTAATCGTGTTCTTAGAGAAGCTTCTCAGTCCCAATCAGCCTTATTAAAAGTCCCTGCTTTTGTGGTAGTCAAATATCAATAAAATGGTAATTTCCTACTTTCTGACAATCGTGTTGCTGCTCCAACACCACCTTCAGTTGTATAGAGATAAAGTTTGGCCCAAAGTACCACACTCAAGTTTGCATGGAATTTGGCGCACCTGTAACCTATGTTACATAGGCTCAGGTACAGCTGTCAGACACGGGTTTGTATCCATGTGTCGGACATGTCAAATCTCCAAACAGAGGGACATACGGATACGGCTAAATATTCATTTTAGTAATTATTTTATTTTATTTTCTAGAGTAAAGTAATGTTTTTATCTAATATAACGTTCAATATAGGCATTTAACTCTTTTTAAAGTAATAATATAATGTAATTGAGTGATTGGATATGTTTTTTAAGTACATGCCTGGCCAAAAGTGTCGGACACATATCTCATACCCATGTCCGAGGGATATGTGTCCGACACGGGTACTTCATTACTTTTGAAGAGTCCATGTAACAGAGCCTGTAACAAACACTATCTAACGGTTATGGTTTTACTACCCAATACGTATTGTTATTTTGGCAATAAAATTTGATGGTTTCTTTTTCAAGTCATTTTAATGTGACATTGATACTTGATACCATGGTCGAATTTAGTGTGACATGATATCGTTGAAATGGTACACCATTATTTTGTTCTGATTCTCTTCTTTGTAGAATATGGGTCATTTGGCTTCTAAAGTTGCACGTTGTAAGAATATGTTGTTGCAGTGGGGCTATTGATACATGTTGAGTTTTAGGTGTAATGTGTTTCTATGTGTTGTAGGACAAACTCTGCCTCTATTTTTTTTTTTTTTTTAGTTTCATTTGTAGCATCTAAAAGACTTAATCATGTTTGGATTGTTTCATTTCCCTTGGTTTTTTCTTTTTTATTTTTTGATAAATAATAAGAATTTTCCCTTAACTCCACCCTTACCTTGAAAAAAATCATGCCGTTAGTTTCACCATTGGGATTCAATAGGCTTTGGCATTCACTGCCTTCTTTGAAACATCTCGTTCTCCGAAAGCCTTTGTGGTTATAATAAGTAGAGTTGCCGAACCATCTGATTTGGGTGATTATGAGAAAGTTTTTTTTTTTTTACTAGTTACGCTTTAGTCTTCTGGGCTAGCTCATCTGCCTTGACCAAATCAGATTGTTCTATTTCTCAATCTTTCCTGACTCACTCCTATAGAACCAAGGTCAAAAACATTGAAAAAATTAAGGATTAGTAATCCTTTTTAGAAATCGGATGGCAGCTCAAGATCAGCCTCATGAAAACCTTGTATTCCTTGAGGAGGTTCTAACAATTTCACAACTCCAGTATTCTGGTAACTTAAAATTTAAAGGGGTTGTATCCCCAATATGTCATTCTCGTCTCAAATTTTCTAGTCAAGTCTATGATACGGTGTTAAACTTCACCTCCTCATCCAAATAGTACTTCTCTTCGACTCCTCTTTCCCCTCTCCACAATCAGGTAGGTCTATTAGACTGCTGGGTTTTTAGGCAATTTATTTGGAATCGTGGTGGCTATCTCTCAGTGAACGATTGCCACTTTCCCCACCATGGTGGTGTTATTATTAGTGTTTTTCCATTGCTAAGAAAACCAGTAATAAAATGGGTATTTAAGGAAGAATGGTATGCCCTACATTAAGAGTGATACTATAAAAAGGGGAAGACGGTAGTAGGGAAAGGTATGGTAACATGTGGTTTAAGTAAAATTATGACATTAGACATAGCAGAAATGTAAAATACCAATCATAGAAGCTATCCCAAATAGTTGGATAAAGCTTTGTTGAGGTGTATCATCATCATCATTGTCGTCGTCATCATCAATTTGCCTCTCTTTTATTTGTTTTCCACTATGTAAGTGTGAATATGTGTTATACAGTTTAACATTCCAAATGATTGCTGATTACCTATTGTGCAATGGTATAACATTCTAAACTGATTGTTCATCCTAAATAATATTTGTTCTTTATTTGCTGACACAGCAAGTGTTGTGTAAAAATGAAACCGGTCATGTTACGCGAGCAGGAGTTGTTGGGTATAATATAGTTTCACTATTTGGATTTATTCTTGTTTGTTGTATGGATTCTAACTCTTTCACCACGCAAATTATTCTCAATTCAGGTGGAAAAAACAGTGCTGATAGGTCTCTTCTTGTTGACCTTATGTATTGGGTTTCTCAAAATCCTCCACCAGCACATCTTTTCATCATTTCTGGTGACAGGGATTTTGCTACCATTTTACACCGGTTAAGAATGAACAATTACAATATCTTACTTGCTAGTCCAGAAACTGCTCCTGGTGTCCTCTGTAGTGCTGCAAGTATTATGTGGTGCTGGAATGCCTTGGTTAAGGGGGAAAACCTTACTGGTAAGCATTTTAATCAACCCCCAGATGGTCCTTATAATTCCTGGTATGGCCATTATAAGGTGCCTCTTGAAGACCCATTTTCAGTTGCTGAGCAGCCAGCTTTTTCACGGGCTGAGGAGCTGCCAGAGTCTGGTGCAGATACTAGACTTCGTCCAGTTCCAAAAGTAGTTGTGAAGCAGATTCGCCATATTTTAAATTCATACCCCAGAGGGATCTCCATTACAGATCTTCGTTCAGAGTTGTCAAAGGGTAATGTGTGTATAGATAAAGACTTGTATGGTTATAAAAAGTTCTCCCGCTTTCTTCTATCAATGCCACAGATTTTAAAGCTTCAATCTGGGAGTGAAGGCCAGTTTTCCGTATGTGGCATTGCCCCAAGAGTTCCCGAACCAGTTGAGTCCCCTCCAGTCAATGCTACAGGGGCTGTTACTAATAAGGGAGAGCCAGATTTTACAATAACTCCTAAATTAAATGGTCAAAACAGCTCTACTGCTAAAGTTGTATCTGAGAAGTCATCACAGGTTCCATATTCTGAAGTCAATGTCAAGAAGCCTCCAACAAAAGTGCAAGAGCAGCAAACAAAAGTGCAAGAGCCACAAACAAAAGTACAAGAGCCGCAAACAAGAGTGCAAGAGCCGCAAACAAAAGTGCAAGAGCTACCTCCACTCATCGAGAAGGAAAATAATGCTGGGATAACTGAGAGGTATTTACATTCTGAGGAGGAATATTGTTCTATATCCGAATTAGGATTCTTCAAAAAGATATGGAGGAAATGGTTTGGTGGTAAAGGTTGTTCTTCTGAGAAGAAAAGTTGTAGCATACAAGAGAAGAGTTCTTCTGGTGGGAGCCCTGCGAGTACAAGAGCTGAAGAAATACATGTGAAGTCAACAAGTCAGAAGAGTGCCGATCCTGTTGCTGTAGCTTCTTTTCCTTCATCTAATAATGAAGCAGAGATGAAAGAAAAGACTGATGAAAGCTCTGAATCCTACGATTATAAACCCAGAGGGGATCCTGGATTTTTTAACCAAATGATGAGCTGGTGTAAGTTTTGGAGGAGCCCTAACTCCAATAGTTCAAGTGAACAATCTTGTGAGAATTTAAACCAGAAAACCATTGATTCTGGAAAGCAAGAAATCTTCTTAAAGGGATCTTTCTGGAATGACATGCAAGCATTTTTTGATACACCCAAAGGTTTAACGCTTATCTTGCAATCAAGGACTAGGTACATGCTTCTACCTGCTTTTCCATATCTATTTCCAGTTTCTGGCTTCCATTGCTATAATAATTTGCAATCATGCTTTTGACATTTTTTTATTTTTGCTTCTGGTGTTGCGCATATCCTTTTTTGCTATTCAAGCTCATATATATACATTGGCACGCATAATCACTCTTATTATTATTGCAGAATTTTTGGAACTATTTTTCCCACAAGGAAAGTTCTGAGAATGAATTTTAACGATGTAGATGGACATTATGATTTTCTTTTTGCTGACAATATGTACTGGATATGGCATCAACGGGTAAAGGCTGTAGAGGAAATTTGTTATTGCTCAAACAATAATCAATTGTTTGTCCAAACCCTTCCCATGGGTTAATTCTAAGTTAGAACTGTAAAATATGCTTTAGAATCCAAGAGCTTGTTCCTCAATGGTTTCAAGAGCTTGCATTTATTTTCAGTTTTTATTAAAATTGTAAAAATGAACACAATGATTTTTTTTTTTTTTTTTTTTTTTTTTATATTTTTTAGAAAAGGTGGCTGTCGTTTTGGGTCATTGGATAACTTTTAAAATAGTTTCTAGATATGGCCCTTTCCGAAATCTTTTAAAAATGCCTTGCCAAATCCATTTTTCTAGTTTTACATATATATTTATTTATGGGTTAAATGTTTTGATACCCCCTCAAGTTTGCATTTATTATTCTCAGATTAAACTTGAGCAAAAAAGCCTAAACCACTCCTCAATTTTGGTTGACTTTTCCCTGACAACCCTTTCTGTTAGTTGACCTTCAGCCAGGTCAAAAATCAGCTAAATTGAAAAATGAAATGCCAAGCTACCCTCCATTGTTTCTAGTACACAGTGTACACTTACTTTTATCCTTTGCTTACTCTTCCTCCTCTGCCGTGTGGCGGTGCATGATTAGCATGAAGGAATCCAATACTGTTCACCTAATATATAACCTTACCAATTTACATATCCTTTTGCTACCATCATTCTTCACCATCTTCTCCACCTTTGGCAAGCTCACCTACAACCGGTCAAGCATTTAACGGTGGCTCGACGGCGGTAACAACACGTCCGATCACGATGCGGGTCCTACACCACCGACTTTGTTCCCGACCGCACCCTATAACCAGTATGAGGTTGTCACTGATCTGCAAGAGCCACCATAGCAGCTTGGTCAAGCTCCACGGTGATTCCATCGAGCTAACCTTTCGGAGTGTCTGCGAAGCCCTAAAAGCCCCAATTTCACTCTCCTCCCGAATTGGATGTCTCGAATGCGGATTGCAATCTCTGTCAGGGCTTTGCCAGTGATGGTATCAATGAAGAAGATGAAGAGAATAAGCAAAAATTAAACCTCCTCCGCAATAGGGACAGCTTGTTTTCCGACTTTGGAGCAGTCGAACTTGAACGAATTGGCCTTGTTGACGGCGAGGTGGAATTCCTCCGATAACCTAATTGAAAAAGGAAAGGACTTAAGTTGCATCCTCCCCACCAAAAAAAATAAATAAATAAATAAATAAGGCAACAAGATGAGATATAGAGATTGGAACGTGTATATGTATACTATTCATCTCTCTCTCTCTCTCTCTCTCTCTGTTTTTTTTTTTTTTTAAAAAAAAAGAAAGTAAATATTCATCTCTTTGTTTGCTGCACAGGGAATCCAAAAATTCTCACTTCCATTAGTTGAAGAGATTGGGTTCAAATGTCATGGGATGATCGCAACCCTATACCAACTCCGTCAACACTTACCTGAATTCCTTGAGATCATGGTGTAGATCTCAAGTACTGACTACTGGGTTGGATTTGGTTGTGAACTAGGGCTTGAATTGGGTGAATTAGGATGAAAATTATGATATTGTGAAATAGGGTTTGATTGGGTACATGGGATGAACAATTTTGATGCTTCAAATTCTCCTTCAGGTTCTCCTCCTTTTTCGCTTCCTTCGCTTGATTTGTTGTTCAAAATTTGAGTCAAAACTCCAAAGATTGTGATGTCTTGGTTGTTTGATGAATCAAATGGATTGAGTTGGAGTTCAAGAAGATGGAGTCTAGTCGCAATGAAGAAGATGGAGTTTTGGGTTTTATTCTGATGCACACACGAAGATTGAGTTTTGAGTGTCAGGCAATAATGTTTTAAACGTACATGTCAGTAATGACAAGCATGGAAGTTAAATAATGCCATGGGTATAATGGTAAAATCACTTTTTCCTGTCAAAAAGTAAACCTCTGTTCAATCTGACAGGGATGTCAGACCAATTTTTGCTCAGGTTTAATCTGAGAGCAATTAACGCAAGGAGGGGTGTCAGACCATTTAACTCTTTATTTATATATATGCATATGAGAGTGTGTATGTTTGTGTCTGTGCATGTATACAAACATAATAGAAAATGGTTTTGATTCTTGAAAAAAAACCTTGAAACAGAAGGCAAGATGAGCTAGAAAATTATGCAGTGTATTGTGTAAACTTTGGTTTAGAAATGGACTTCTTAAAATAGATGACAAAGTCCTGTGGTCTTAGTTATCTTGCATCGATCATCAAGAAAATGTGGAACTTAACCTTTTATTAGTAGGACTAGATGTGGTGTGATTAAAATTAATTGCAATGTGATATTGTTATCAATATTTCTTGGATCAATCATTTATCCAGAATGAAAGATTGAAAAATGACAATGTGAATGGATGAAATCTAACCTTTGCATCAATGTAGTAGTCCGACTGCTCTCTATTAAACAATATGGTTTTTCAAGAAAGGAAGGAAGAGTATTTGTTTGGCAGCAAGTGGACTCTTTATGAAGCAAAGGGAGTGGTAGCTAGAACTAGAGATGCATTAAGCTCTAAATCCGTATGAGGACCTCCTTCCCTTCTGCCCACTCTCCATTCACACGGGCCAGATATCTCACTCCAATTGAACAAAATCACAGGTTTGGTGAAGTCACAGACAGATGCATATTATACCCATAAGGGAGAGATGGAAAGAATTGTGGGGGCACAGATGGTTGGAATTTTCAGTTAAAAGAAAATGGAAAGAGAGGGTGATCTTTACCAAATGGATGACTGCTGAAGATGCAAATAGTTTGTAGATCTCAGGCAAAGCCTCCAATTCTAATAATAAGGTAAGAAAAAAGAAGAACAAGGTGGAAGTGATGGGTACAGGAGTATGAATGAGGGGCTCATGTTGGCAACAAGTTATGAAGGAAGACAAACTTGGAATATTCCCTATCAAGGGGGCAGGTTGGATGATAGATAGATCGTGACTCTAGAGGGCTGTGTGATTCCAATACATATTTTTAATTATGGCAGAAAATTTTCAAATAGTTAAATCGTCTTTCATGGTACAAAATAATTGCTCGTCAACAAACTCAACAATGCCTTTTTTTTTTTTTTTCTTAATTAATTGGGGTCAGTTGGTTACATGAATCATATTTTTCCATTTTGCTATAAGGCCATAGTCTTAGTCAACATGAGGTTGTTGGATTGATGATAGCAATAGAGTATATGATGGAGTAACAAATGAATTTCTTTATAAGTGGCTATAGATAGTAGTATTAGAGGTCTAAGTAAGAGGAAGTTGTTTAAGGTGGCTTGGCGATGGGTAACAATAACGATTGACTATTTTTTTCTACTTGAAGGATACTTTTTTTTAAATAAAAAATAAAAAAATTTCTACTTGAAGGGGGCTACAAGGACAAGAAAAGGATTAAAAATAAAGAGATTTCTTAACTGTTGCCTTGTTGTTATTATTAACTGTTGAACATAATAAGTGGACAGGAGATCAGAAGATAGCTGAATTTGTGAATGTTTTATATCTTCGATATATAATTATATTGATATGTAAAACAGATAATTTTATACCTTTGATACTATAAATGGCTGTCAAATATGTACTCTTTAAAGATGGATGTAAGCGGTATGATAGTAGTTGAAGTTTACACATTCTGCAGATTGTTGGTTTTGATATTTAAGTGATCTAATAAACCTAATTTTGAGTAGGTGGAATTTGGGTTCTAATTCTTGAGCCTTTTGTATTGAGGTGGTTTTATCACATAAATATAAGTGAGCAAAAGTCACATTAAATAGAAAGAAAATGACAAAAACTATTCACAACCACAAAAGGCATGGATACAGTCATGTGGCAGGGGAACATTAACACAACAAATCATTAAAAAGTAGATAATGAACACAACAAGGAAACAGTGACAATATATGTTTTAATATAAAAATCGTATTAGATATGACAAATAAATATTCTATTATATGAAGTATGGAATTTGTAATTTATAAATCAGCTATGCTGCACAAGAAAGATTTAAAACAGGCATGATATATGTATACATATACATGTGTGTGTGTATGTATGTAGAGAGGAATAAATAAGTGCACACACCCTCTACTACTACTGTGCGCACTCCTTCAGTAAAAACATAACTTTTGTTTATTTGATCAAATTTTGGATAAAAATTATTTGATGTTTCTTGCTGTGTGTATTTTCTTCACTAGAATATAGACTTATTCGACATTCAAGGTGTGATCACATGTTAGCAAATGTGCAAGAAATATCGGTCATGTTCAAAATGACGGTTTTTAATATTTATTTTTTTAAAAAAATTATAGACTTGTATAAGATGCATTGAACATTGTTAGAGTATCCGAGAGTGTTAAAGACTGACATGGAGGCGGCTCCTTCTTAAAAGTGTCTGGGCTTCTTAGACCACAAGCAACCTAAGGAATGTGTGACACCAAGAGAGAGAAATCTGAGCCAACCTTGAAAATTATATCCTGTGTCAAATGAATACCAAATAAATTAAAAGGGAAATTCTATAGAATGGTTATTAAGCTGGCAATATTGTATGGAGCAGAGAGTTGAGTGTTGAAAAAGACACAAATACAACGCATACATGTAGCAGAAACAAGGATGCCATGTTGGATGATAGGAATCACTAGAAGAGATAAGAAATAGCGAACGTGTGAGGGGAACATTAGGTATGGTGCCTATAAATGATAAATTTAGGAAAAGTAGGCTTAGATGGTATGGTCATAATCAACATAGACCCGATGATGCACCTATTAAAAGAGGAAGAGTGGTTTGTTTAGAAGGTGAGCGGCAAAGAGGCTGACCAAAACTTATATGGAATGAAGTAATTAAAACGACGTAAAAAACTTAAATTTAAGAGAAAACATGGTGTATATTAGGAAATAATTCCCCCATCCATATCGGAATAAAGGGAAGGATGATGATGATGAACCTTGACAATTATATCATGATTAAATTGGAAGAGTTACATTAGGATTTCTACAGACCCCTAATTTGTTGTGTCTTGGGACCTTCATGAGTGTGCCTTACTGATTTTTTTTTTTTTTTTTGATAAGTATGAGTGTGCCTTATGGATTGTGGAAATCAGTTGCCAGATTTCTTTTTTATCTCTAGATGCTTCACTATTAGGAGTACCACATCCTGGCAGCAGTTCCAATCTTGGTAGGCCAAATTAATTTTTACAGCTTAAACTCGTCTCATCTTGCCACGTGCAGGACAAAAAACTCGATGAAAATTGTATTCACTACGTGTATAATGTCAACAGAATATTCATTTCCAGAGTTTGTTTTGTTTGTATACCAAGGATGACCAGAACTACCTACATATGAACTGACATTTGCTGGACATAACGTCTGAATAACAACATGGAGTAGGTGGTCATTACGAAGTTATTGATTTATCTTCTCATATTTCCAATGCAGTTTAAGAATTTTCTTGGATTTTGGATAACTTAAATTTAGTGAATGTGACATATTGTGCATAGAGAGAGTAAAAACTTAATACTGAATGTTATGAAATTTTAGAACTTTTTTTTCTTGAATAATTTTAGAACTTCATTATTGTATATTCTAGAATTTCTAAGTTGCATTCAGTGTCAGATTGTAATATTTTAGAATTTCTAAGTTTCATTCAGAGTCATATTGTAACTGTTTGTTGTGCTATCTGATTTGTATCAGGGAACAGATGGCACAAAATCTGCAAAAATGTGGGCCTTCGGCTCTGAGCTCTCTTGGCGAAAGTGATCTTCTTCACCTGGTGGACTTACTTATCTCGGAGAAGAACTGGGTGGAGGAATGCCCCTCCCAAAATTATCCTTTCAAATTCAGTTCGTCTTCTGGAAAGAGATCCTCTTCTGGTAGTCTGTACAGCTCAAATGGGTTAAGATCCGTCATTTCAAGAGAAACATCGCAGTCTAGTCCACAGAGACTACCACAACACACTGGAGAGAAAAGACACCAAAATTTTCCCTATGCTGGGATTAATCAACCGGTCATTAACAAGAAGCTCTCTGACAAGTCCAGAAGTGAGATATTAGGGGACTGTCAGAAGCTTGTGGATTATATTGCAGAGGAATATCCCGAAGGATTCAAGATGGGCTCATTTAGGAAACTGTTTCTTGAGAGGTACGGCTATTCTCTGGATTTACAGAAACTTGGTTACCAAAAATTGGCTACACTGTTGCAAATAATGCCTGGGGTTAAAATAGAGTCTAGTTGCATTTTTCCTTCTGGTAAAGTTTCAAAAAGACGCATTAAAGAAACTGTTGATGCTAATGTTCAAGAAAATATTGTCAATGGTGCAGTCACTAATTTTTATAATGAATTATGTGATGCATCAAGGAAGGATGATGATCTTGAATCTCCATGGGAGGAACTTGGGCCTGTTGCCAATGCAAGTCCCAAGAGAAATGGAATGGAAATGGGGTTGAGTAAGAACGTAAAAGATGTACTTGCAGGACAGATGCACCATGATTATGAAACGTTATCAGATGATGACTTGTCTGATTCGGAAGATGAAACCTCATCCTTAACAGGATCCGAAGGGCGAGGCAGACCTAGAGAAAACGAGGAAGATAGCTCATTGTTAAAGATTCTCGACTCATGGTATAGCAGTAGAAAGGAAAGCAGTGGAAAGAATGGGTCAGAAAATGTAGATGGAGTGATGGATTGGTCCGGGGATGGTTTAAAGCCATCTGGTGCATCTGGAGTTGGCATCAAAACTGAAACTTCTGTAGTACACTGCGGACGGAAGCAAAGACCTTTTAAGAATTATTCTTTTGTTGCAGAGCAACCTGAGGATAACAAAGACAAATTGATTGATGGTATTTTAGGCAGCTTAAAGAAATCAGGTGAGTCAAGGATCAATGGCTGAAGGGTTTTTAAGCATAGCTTAAAATAAAAAGTGCGTCTTGGCACTTCAAATGAAACTTTTGAAATAGAGGGATTAAAAAATGAGTAGACAATATAATCTCACATGGTATATCATTGCATTTTGCTCATGCTATCAATAGTATTAGGGTTGATAACGAATGTTGAGGCACGATGATGTGGATGATTCTTGCTGTGGAGAAGAGAAAATTTATTGTGTTCCCCATTATTTGTTACTACTTTTAGATTTCTCTCCTTCAGACAGTCCTAGCTTGAGTCTCCGTTGTAGCTGATGATTATTTATTGCTACTTGGATAACATTCAGGTCCTTCAGGATTTTGGTGGTTACCAGTTCTGAGTTGAATTTGCAACAACTATAAGTTTGATTCTGTATTTTGTCTTTAATGTTGCAATGGTTTGATCTTCTTTTCTCTTACTCAAACAGCATCAATAACCCTCCATCTACTTCTCACTGAAAATGTATGTCCAATGGGCATTGACAAGTCCAGATAATGCTGGTGTAAAGTGGATTTTGAAGTTGGATGAAGTATCAATTTAGCGAAAATAGATGCTTGGAGCTAAAATATCATACAAAACCAGAAATGTTTGTCTCAGCCAGATTCTTACTGCCCTACATTTAATTTCTGAGCATGTGTAGTTGGTAAAGTGGATCAGCTATCACAATTCCCAACGTCTTACACTGTGTATATATATATATATATATATATATATATATATATGATATGAGAGGGTACGTGGGAGAAGATATTGGGTGAGGCGGGTAGATCTACCCAATGAACATTTAAATTTGTTGAGAACAATTTTTTTTTTTTTTAGACCAGTTTGATTGAATTGTGCAAATTCATTGGTTGAGATTGCATGCTCGGCTCACCTAATATCTATTCGGGTGCATGAGACTAGGGACCTATCCTTTTTGGTGTAGTATTGATTGCACTAGCAAAGATGTGGATGATCTTCCCAGCAGTGTGGTGCTAGTGAAACTTGATCGTTGCAGTCCACAAGATAAGATTTTACGGGTAAATTTTACTTACTTCCCTTAGGTATGTCAGTATCTCAAATAGATCCCCTCTTTGTTTCATAATCTCACTTAACTCCCTAAGATTCCGATTTATGTAATAAATTCTCCTTGGCATGTCAAGTTTGTTATTTTAATGCCTGAAATAATAAAAAAAATATTTCATAGGCAAAACGGTCAAAAAAAGTCCATAACAAGATAAATAAGTGGGATGATGAAACTGTTCGATCAAAAATGTGGTTCTGGAGTTGCTTTGACATGCCAATCTCAGAAGACTCAAGAGAGATCGAACAAAAATTATCCTTTTTGTTTGATTAGGCAATTGTGGAAGAGAATGAATAAGAAACTCCTCACGGGGTTCTTTATGTCTCTGATGAAAGGACTTCTAACGTCTAAGATTGCAATGTAAAAGTAAAAGGAATGTAAAAGGATTAAAATGCAATGCTAAAATGTGAGCGCTGAAAGATAAAGAAATTGAAAGAACTAGACTTGTATTGAAATTTCTGGAATTGAAATAAAAAGAATTATGGGTTAATTACAATGACACCCCCCTGAGGTTTGTTGTATTGACAACCATATACAAGTCGTCCATTTTCAAACAATGACACTCCCTTAAGTTTGATAAAGTTAACAAAGACACCCCAATCCCTCTGACACGAGGTAAATTGACTCTATTGACTTTTGACTTATAAATTGACCTATTTCAATCATGAAACTACTATTTTAACCTTCTTTAAATCTTTTTAACGGACAAAACTAACCCTCTTTACCAAACCCACCAACCATCGAAGAAGAATAGCAATGGCAGCATGAAAGCCATCTCCAGACCTTTGAAACAAGTAGATAAATATATATATATATATATATATATATATATATATATATATATATATCTTTACAGCGGGAGGAAAAAATCTTCGGAACAACCATGGCATCACTTAAAAAATTGTTGAAAAAATCATTGCATGAATGAAAAAATCGTTGCTGCATGTTGGGATTGAAAATATACGGCGAACCAAAAAATTATCGCCGTATATTTTGGAATATATCACTGAAAAAATCGTTTCCACCGGTTGTGATCCTAGTCCTCCCGCTCGCACAATCAGTGACCCCACTAATGCCAAAAAGATTACAATCACTGTTGATCTGGATTCAAGCCCCAAGGAGACACTTTGCAATTAACTTTCATTAATTACACAAAGGCCCCTACACAAAAGATAACTGCACAAGTGACCTAGAATGAAAATATCTTCCAAAAGATATTTTCTTAAAAACCCCTGAAATAAATATCTTAAAAAGATATTTACGAAAAACACCCCAAGAAACATAAATGTTTCTGAAGAATCATTTCATCCACGCCCTTGCGAGAAAAGGAAACAATCGGCGAGCTTCTCTCCAAAAGTAAAGTTACGCGTTTCGAGGAAATCAAATAGAATGAAAACTCGTGAAGTCAAAAATTAGCTTCGAACATGAAAAGTGAGGTTATGCTAACAAAGTGACAAACGGGAAAAAAGACGAAAATTGAATAGTGTCGAAAAACGAAAAATGTGGAAATGACGCAGTCCTTTAAGGAAGTTGTCAATTTAAAAAAAGAGTCTTAGAAACCATTTCCGAGCACTCGAGATGACACTAAGTGACGAGAAACTAAACTCAGAAAAGAAAATCCAACGAAAAAAAATTTATTCATAAAATCTGAGGAAAAAGGAAATGAATGAAATGATCGGGTCATTACATAATGGGTGGGTATGCATGGGCGCGGGTGCGAGGCGCTGACAACTTATAGGTGCACAATCCCACAATGCTTGGTGTGAAAAAGGGGAAGTACTTATTAGGATCTAATGCATACAATATTATACTATGTGGTAGAGTGGTATCAGAGTCTGATCCAGCCGGAAGTACTTTGTCAACAGGGATGCCGGGCTTCTTAAGAGGGTGGATTGTGGCAACCTTCTAAGTGGACGAGGCACTAACAGGGTCAACATACCATGGATGCATGATCCCACATTGTCTGAGTTTGGAATTACAAACTCATTTTTTTGGACTCAAATTAGACCGAGATGATAGTAAAAAGATTGTCGCAATTCATAAAAAACCCGAGTTGCCTATCTAAATTGCACATACAACTATTTCTATCCAGCATATTATAATACTTTGAAATTGTTCAATTTTTCAACTCAAATCCCCATCTTCTTTACACTGTTTCTGTGATGACCTTGTGGGCGGGTGTGCCGTGGGCGGGTGCGAGAGACACTGACAGGCTACCACACTGGTGAGCTACGGGTGCACAAGTCCCACATCGCCTGGGTAGAGGAAAGGTGAAGTGCTTATATGTAAGTGTGTCATTTCCAATTGGTTTGAGGCCTTTTGGGGTGAAGCCCAAGAGCAAAACCGTGCGGGCTCAGGCCCAAAGCGGATAATATCATACCATGTGGTGGAGTGGGTCGTTACAAATGCTATCAGAGCCTGACCCAGCCGGAAGTGTGCCGACGGGGACGTTGGGCCTCTAAGGGGGGTGGATTGTGATGACCTTGTGGATGGGTGCGAGAGACACTGTCAGGCTACCACACTAGCGAGCTACGAGTGCACAGTCCCATATCGCCTAGGTAGAGGAAAGGTGAAATGCTTATATGTAAGTGTGTCACCTCCAATTGGTATGAGGTCTTTTGGAGAAAAACTCAAGAGCAAAATCGTGCGGGCTCAAGTTCAAAGCGGACAATATCATACCATGTGGTGGAGTGGGTCGTTACAGTTTCAGAAATCCAAAGACTCCATCATATAGATATGTAAATACATTATTTCTAATCCTAGAAATTCAATCAGAAAAATTGAGTGATATCATCTAGGTTTGTATTCGCTAAGTTTACGAGTTATTAATTATAACACTACACGAATTGATACGCAGAACACCTAATATTCATCATTTATAGTTATTACTGAATTATCTCAAAAATAGCAAATAAATAACTCAAATCACTAAAATTTGTCTTATATTGTTTTTTTTTTTTTTTTTTTCCTTCTAATACGTAGTAATATTTTATTTAATATTTCCTGAATTGTGAACCAGTAGTCAAAGTGATAAATGATTGCATGCCAATTAGGAGCTGTTTTAAGATGTGATGACCAAAGTGTGAACACGATCATGCATTTAATCTAATCTCTGTCAATTTCCGACCTGGCCCACCTGTAACAATCACGTGAAAGAAAACACAACCTTAGAAAATCCCACGTGTTAAAAATGTAGTAACACTCGACTTCTTCAAATAAAAAAAGTCCTTAAATTTCTTCCGGTTGAAGTTGGAAAGTCTTTGCATTGACCTAGTTTCATCCGTAATGAGTGATGATATATAAAACCATGTAAAGTTTAATTTCATCAAATCACGTATGAGTACACTGGAAATTAATCACTCAAATTTTATTTATTTATTTGTATGAATGACTCCATCATTTTTTCAAAGAATGCATAACTATTCTCTCAGTTTGCCCAAATATCATATTAAAATAATATTAAAAAATTATTACTCCCTCTGTTCCATTAAAGATGTACACCCCAAATGCGACATCCTTTTTGAAACAGAGGTAGTATCATTTAGATCCAATTTTATTTTTCTAGTCACTAACACCGTTAAAAACGTGTAAAAAGACAATTTTACCCTTATTTTTTAAATTCATTTTAATCCAAAATATAAAAAGACAAAATTGCCCCATTAGTATCTCATTCTAATATATTTATTCCCTTTTTCATAGGAGGATAAAGTTGTCTCCATAATTTTTGGACAAAAAAACCTCCATTAAAATTTGTCATCTCATAAAAAACTGGTATTTATGTAGTTTCAAAACACTCTTTTAGTTCAGTTCATTGAATTAGACGTAGGTTTCCTAATCTTGTTTCCTAATCTTCGTCTAAGATGCCGGCCTCGAAGACTTTGGCACTACTATTAGCCTGCCTGAATCCAAAGAGGCTGCTCACGCGCTACCTCCATCTTCTCCTCCTCCGACGAGTACATTTGCATCAACTCCATGGCTGATTGCCAACAAGGTTGTTAAAATCGGGATTCTACGCAGAATCGTTTTGGTCTTCGTAGAATCGGAATCGTAGAATCGGATCGTGAATCGTAACATTTTACCAAATTATGAAAAAACAATTGAATCTAACTTCTTAAACAATAAGATGTGTAAAATATAATAAAAATAAGGCCAAAACACACAACCAAATATATCTAACCTCAACATAGCCTATCAAGGAATAAAATTTGACATTTAAGAAATATTTTTTTGCTCCGTGAATAAGTAAAACGACTTCTCCCAAATTTTTTTAACCTCTCCTAAATTGTGCACAATTAAAATTACACTTAAAAAAATTATAT